AAACCTCTGGGCAGCTGGGGGACCTTCACCCTCAAAACTGCTTTATTGTTACTTTTGTTACTACTATTATTCTTAGTAGTAGTAGTAGTAGTAGTAGTAGTAATAGTAGTAGTAGTACTAGTACTAGTAGTAGTAGTAGTAGTACTAGTACTAGTAGTAGTAGTAGTAGTAGTAGTGGTAGTGGTAGTGGAAGTAGTAGTGGTAGTGGTAGTGGTAGTAGTAGTAGTAGTAGTAGTTCTTCTAGTAGTTCTATCAGTTCGAGTAGTGAAAGTAGTAGCACGAGTAGTAGCAGCAGCAGTAGTAGTAGTAGTGGTAGTAGTTGTTGTTGTTGGGGCAGCAGCAGTAGCAGCAGCAGTAGCAGCAGTAGTAGGAGTAGTAGGAGTAGTAGGAGTAGTAGGAGTAGTAGAAGTAGTAGAAGTAGTAGTAGTAGTAGTAGTAGTAGTAGTGGTGGTGGTGGTGCGTAAAACAAGCAAGTTTCAGAAGTAGGGCATGCAACTCAGGTTAGCAAGGTCTCGCTCAGCTTGGAATCGGGGCGTTTCCTGGACAACCTCTTGGCACGCCCCAGAGCTGCAATAACTTAATGTTTCGTTGCACGATTTAGGGCTTACGCGCCTGCTGGAGCGTGTTTACCCAGGGTCGATGCCTCCATCCACTGATTTGACATTACAGCCGGTTTCTGAGAATTCCTACCTGAAGGGTCCAGTAAGTAGGTTAAAATTGTTTTATCAACCTTCTTACTCAGTCCCCATGACCCTCCAAGAAGTATGGCAAGCAGTCTGCTTCAAGGCTGTAAGCCCTAAGCCCAGAACTATAACAAGGGGATCTTGGCAGCCCCAACCCCCGAAATTAGGACCCTATAACCATCAGATGATAGCCCTAGGATCCAACCCCCTCTTAAGCTAGTCTCTAAAACGTACACGCTGGACCCTTGACCCAAACCTTAAACTGAAAACCGTAAATGGGCTCTGACTAGAAACTTTGGCAGCACCCACATCAAGGCTGCGAACAGTCTACATAGTGTGTTTGGGGGGGTTAAGTTGGGGGTATAGTCCCCCAAGTAGATAGAATATGGCTTTGGGTATGCTATAATAACATCCCCACATAGCCCATATTCTATCTACTTAAGGGGGACTATAGCTTTAAATTAGTCAAGCGTTTCCCTCATACACAGGCTTAGGGATTAGGATTGGAAGATTCGGGTTTAGGGCTTTTGTACCTTGCAGTCGACAAGCCAGGGCGGTTCTTTGGGTTAGAAGCACAGTTACCAAGCAGGCTATAAGGAAGGAACCCACCCTTCAAGCAGATCGTTAAGCTTTTAAATTCAAAAGACGTTCGGTATCTCTAGACTTGGCAGAGTTTGATCATGGGGCTACTTTGGGTCCCCAGCATACGGATAATCACAAAGTAAGGATTTCTTTAATTATCCTACTGTATTTTTTTGGGGAGGGCACATATTCCCGAAACCCTGAAGCCTAAAGGTAGGGCCCATGGTGGGCCTGTGATTTGAATCTCAGAGCCCAAACCCTGAACCCACAAGCTTCCTCTTGCTTCATCCAGAAACCTCCGGCTCTTATCCCCGAAGCTGCATAAGCTCCGATCCAGGGTTCATGGTTGTAGTCCCCCTTAAGTAGATCGAATATAAGGGTTATATTATAGGGATAATGGAAAATAAAATGGAAGCTACTATTTACGGTTCAGGGTTTAGGGGTATAGTCCCCCCTTAAGTAGATAGAATATAGCTTTGGGTATGTTATGATAATCCCCCATATTCTATCTACTTAAGGGGATTATAAGGCTAGCTAGTCAACCAACGCATCTTTAAAAGAAAGTGTACATTGCACCTAATAGTCTAGTAACTAGTTGTCAGGTTAACTTAGGTAAACCTTAAACCGTCTACAGTCCAAACCCCGCTTCAAATCTTAAAGTCAAAGCCCCAAACTGTCGACCCTGATTCCTGAACACCGCTAAGTCTTCCTCCGGGAAGTACCGGCCCCCGACGCGTTGCACCTTTGCTTGAGCTTTCACTGCTAGTTCTTGTTTAGGTGCAGAGTTCAGTGTCTCGAGTTTTGGGTTTTGGGTTTGGGATGTTTCAGGGCTGGGGGCTTAGGGCTCAGGTCTTTGGTTTAGGGCGCTGTGTATGGCTCAAGGCATACCAGCGCTCTGCATTCCCTTCTGTTGGGGCTTCTGGCCCAATTTTCTGGTCACAGCCAAAAGAAAACATTCGGACGCCCCCGGCTTGGGTGGGGTTAGTTAGGGCTTGCACTTTGATGCTTGGCTTGCCCCAAGCTAGCATGGAACGCCAACAGTTGCAACGAGAACAGCTGTCTGGGGCAGGACAGTATGTTTGGGTTCCGTGCTAGTCGGGACGGGTAGGCTCTGGGCTTCCACGAGTTTGGAAATTTTAGGGCTTTGGGAAAAGAGTTGAGGGTTCAGAGAGCAACTTGACTCAGCTGCTTAATCCTATTTTGATTTGGTGGCTGTCTAGACATTGTCGGCTAAACACATCCTATGTTAAGAGCGGGTTGTAGCTGCCCTGCTGAAAAGGTTATTGCAGACATGTGTTCGCCGTCCAGGGTTTTCATGTTGCTGCAGGGCGTCTCGGGCTCTGTCTGCAACATTCGGGGAGCTCAGAAGGGACGCCGGGGGTCCCACTTAAGAAGCACACGAACGTAATTGCGAGAGACTTCCATGTACTTGCCCTAACACCCAACCCCTGCAACTTTACCCTGCTAAACCTTCAACCCCTGAAGGCAAGCGTTCATGGAAGGCGAGCAGTTCTCGAAAATTCCCTGTGTTTAGAACGTCCACTTAGAAAGATGATCAAAGTGCCTTTGAGCAACGCAAATGAAGCCTGACCTAGAAGCACACAGAACCTCAAGTACGTATTTCTGACAAACGCCCAAAAACCCAACCAAAAAACGAAAGAGAATGGAGCCGGGACATCTCGCCGCGGTAAGCAAATTCGTGTGTTTTGGTTTGTTGCTTGTGTGGTGTCTTCGTTTGTTCTTCGTTGCTTAACATTCCCTAAGGGTCCAAGTACCTAATAATTATAGACTTACCCAATGCCTATACTATACTTACTATTACCCAAATCCCAAGTACCCAATTTTTGGGCACCTAAACCCTAAACC